ACCTCTGATACGTCTGCTGCTGACCTCTGATACGTCTGCTGCTGACCTCTGATACGTCTGCTGCTGACCTCTGATACGTCTGCTGCTGACCTCTGATACGTCTGCTGCTGACCTCTGATATGTCTGCGTAAAAGAGAAATCTTATGAACCTTTTCTTGTTTTTAGCCCGTTAGCTTATTTAATTGGGTCAAATTTCTTAATTGTTGTTGTTTGTGTATTTATGTCTCTTGTAAATGAGATCTTGGAACTCAGTGAGACAACCTGTATAAATGAAGGTCAAATAAAAATAAAATAAGAGGGTTATATTATAGAACCAGTCCGTCTTTTTATTTTTCTCAAACCGGAAGTTTAACTGTCTTCATGGCAGCATAGTGCTGTCCTGCAGAACCTGCTGCAGGTTCCAGGTCCTCATCATGGTCCTGTTGGAGAAAAGCTTCATGAGCTAAAATCAGCCGAAGCTCCAGGAGACAGATTGATTCATCAGTAGAACGAACTCTCAGCTGGTGAAGAAATATCAAACTAGTCAGCTAACGTTTGTTTACTGTGGTTGTCTAGTTAGCTAGTTATAAAATTAAACGTTATTTTATTTATCTTTTATTTATACAGACTCATTGTCTCATTTATAAGAGAGACCTGTTACATTCACCACAACAAAGTAACATAAAAACAATAATAATACAATTTACTGAACACTTGTAAAAATCAATACCATACATCAGGGCTATTCAACTAAATTTCTCCGGGGGCCACAGTTACTGCCAGTCAACAGCTCAGGGGCCGAGCATCCAGCATTTAAAGTTAATTATGTAAATAAACCAAGTATTACAAAGATCTATTACCTTTGAATTAGTTAATTTTGCTGCATTTAATCATGAATACAACAAACAGAACCCTATAAAAGTAGTGATAATTACACATTATCAGAAACAAAAAGAACACTTTATGCGTCCTATTAGACACAAATAATATTTTAACATCTCTGATTTGCCAAATTTTTAAACCAATTTTATTTTCACTTTCATCATTTCGTCTTCAACTGCTTGTGGTTTTAACTGTCTTGAGTGTTTATAGAAATGGTTTTCACCAGCTTCTAGCCAAGATGCTGACGTTTCTGTAAATACCAAACATGTCTATGTTGAACTAAAAGAACTAAGATTAAGTAAAGTAGAAAACCGGGGGTTTGGGCTTAAGAGATGAATAAACCAATTGGCGGGCCGAACTTTGGTCACTCGCGGGCCAAATGTGGCCCGCGGGCTGCCAGTTGAATAGCCCTGCCATACATCATCAAATGAAGGGTTATCAGACCATTTAAGGTGGAGCTAGATAAATATATTCTAAAGAAATTAGTAAGACTAGCTATGTTAAGAAAAAATACATTCTGCAGTTATTGAAAGAAGTGAAGTATTTAGCGTTTATTTTGTTATATATTTAAGTTATTTAATTGGCTCCACCTTAAATTGTCTGATAAGTGTTAAAGTGATAAAAATAAAGACTAAAATAAAACTGTTTGTTTTTTTCAACATGTACACGGAGCTTTCTGCTTCAGATTTTTTATTCCAGATAGAAACCTGTTCAGTTTGTTTTATTTGTGTTTCCAGAGGGAGATGGTTCATGCGCCGCAGGACTCTCCCCCCGCCCGCCGCCTCGCCAACCCCCCCATGTCCTCGCAGCACTCCACCTCCTCTGCCTCACCTCCTCAGGGCTCCCCGTCCCGAGCCCGCCTGCTCTACAGCGCCGGCAGGCCCTCTTCCTACGCGGGGCCGCCACACCACACCCACTCCCTGCCCCACCCCCACGCCCAGTCCCACCACTCCTCCCCCCACCAGCAGCCTCAGCTCCAACAGCCCCACCACGCCCCGCAGGCCTTCTGCACCTCCTCCAGCGCCATCCTGGAGCGCCGGGACGTGAAGCCCGACGACGAGCTGGGGGGCTCCAGGAGCGTGGTGCTCCTGCGGGGGGATGACCGCGTAGGAGGAGGGATCTACGCGGACCCGTACGCTCTGGGCCCGGACCCGACCCGGCTGAGCCTGGCAGGAGGCCCGCACTCTCCCCTGCCGGCCAGAGCCGACCCGTACGCCTCCTTGTACCGCCGTGGCGGTGGGGGAGGTCCGGGATCGGTGCGGTCTCTCACCTCGTACTCTGCAGCCGCTTTACAAGGAGAGCTGATGGAGAGCGGCGTGCTCTACAGACCAGGAGGACCGCTTTACAACGACGCCTACGCCGCCTCCATGTTGGCCATGGGGCTCCGGGTGCCTCCCCCCTCCTCCCCCCAGAAGATACCCGACATGAGGGATTCCTACGGCGGAGCCCTGCCCGCTCGGGGCTCCCCCGGGAGGCAGACCCTCAGGCGGGACTCCGTCACCTCCTCTGTGTTCGGGGACAGTCCCAAGGCTCGAGGCCCCGGTCCAGGTTTGGGTCTCACCGCTGAGCAGCTCTGCCTGATCGGAGGAGGGGACGGAGGAGGCGGGTTCGGATCTCCTCTGCTTGGGAACGAGACAGAGACCAGGTGGGACACCTTTCAGTTGGAGATGCACGGAGTCTGGTTTTATGATGCGTACCCACATAAAGTCAGACTCACTCAGATTATCTTCTGTCTAAAATCAAAAAGATCTTTAAAGAAACCTACACTGTCGATATTCACCAAGTAAAAAGTAATTATTTACTGTTCTAAAAATTCAATATCTATTTTGCATATCTGATCATTTTAATGTAATTATGATCCCGGCTGTCGGAAATAAACGTGAGACAAAAAGTGAGTTAACCTCTGTTCAGAACCACATAACTCTATTTATTTTTCCTGTTCAGTTTCAAGTAAATAAAAAATAATAATTTAAGATTTACATTTATATTTAGGCACTGAAGTTGGAAATTATCTTAAACACTATAATCTAGATCAGTGAATCTTTACTACATAAACAAACAAACAAACAAACCTCAAAACAAAAACAAATTACAGTGAGATGTTTTCTTTTATGCCATTATTATTTAGTATTAAAGATGTTTATAACTTGACTTTACAAATAAAAATGGACCAAAAAGAACTGCAGCTGAGCTTGGGGACAGGTGAGGAGGTTCACCTGCTGTTCAATGATTCACATGCAGCACATAAAAGTCTCTGAACACGTCAGAGAAAGTATCTAGATTTGTCTGTAGTTGCTTAAAAAGAAGGGTGTGGACACTGGCTCCATCTAGAGAGAAAGACTCAACACAGACCACAGGTTTGTTTCTGCATCCTGCGCTGATGGTGCGTTCATGGACTAAAAAAAAGAAAGATTTCTCAAGATTTACTATTTAAAAATCAGAAACAAAAATCAGATTTTTTATAATTTATTTGGCGTTTCGTTGGTTTTAGACGATGGTTGATCGTTGCTACGTTCAGATTTATAGTACAACTGCTTTGAGGTTTTACAATCAGAACATAATAAACTGGTCCAGATCTACAGGCCTCAGTTAGCAGGCCAAAGGTCAAAGGTCACGAGAGGACAGGCAGGCTGAAGTGTGACCTCTTCTCTCTAAAACCAAGATGGCAGCTCCTCGTCTGAACGACTGTTTCTCTTTAATCGGAGTTATAAATGAGGTCTAAATGTTTCCTGTGTTTCTGTGAGCGCAGGGAGCGAATGGAGGCCATGGAGAAGCAGATCGCCAGCCTGACCGGCCTTCTGCAGAGAGTTCTGACCCGAGCGCCCGAAGCAGAGAGCCCGTAAGAAAAGACACTCAATTTAATGTCGTCATCGCTTTTCAAACATCCATTCAGCTCCTTCTGGAACACAGATTGAATCAATCATTTGAAATGAAAGGATTACAGCCGCCGTCGTGCTTTGGATTGAAGATTTAAATGTTTCCTTCCTGCAGGGAGAAGATGGAGTCGGCGAGCGACGGCTCAGGAACCGACCGTAAGTTTTTATCACTCAAATTAAAGAAGCTTCGTCTCTGCCCGTCTCTGCTCCGCGCTGCTGCAGGAGCTCTTGTTTCCCTCAGAGCAGCTGTGATTTAATTTAATGTTTAAACGTGGCTGTAACGGCTTCATGTGGTTCCTGCCGCTCTGTAACTCTGCTGCTCGTGCTTCTTGTTTTAGCTGGACAAACTAAAAAAAAGAAAGGTAGCTACAGTTTGTGTTACTGTCTGGTTACCCTGTCTGCCGCCCCCCCGCCNCCCCCGCCCCCCTCCATGATTAATTATTCAGCTCTGTTTGCTTCCAAACTAACGTTTGTTATTAAAGAAATGTGTCATTGTAACAGCTGCTCCTCACCCCCTCTGTGTCGAGTTGCATTAAATCAAATACTTTTATCATTTAGGCAGTTTCTTCTCTATAGTTCTGTTATTAAATCTTATTTTTGGAAGGTTTATTTTGTTTGTTTTTATACTAGATGGATCATCAGACGTAATACAGGTTATTTATTTATTTTTTTTATTTTGGCCCCTGATGCCTCAGACTGTAGAGCCGAAGTGTCCAGTCCTGGTTCTTTAGCCTCTTCAGCTTCCTTTCCTTGGTGTTTGTGCTCCGACATAACGTGCCGAATTTACTGCTTCTACTTAAATAATCTTGGTATCAAAATAAAGCTAACACTTTGGAGATTACATCAGAAATTTAAATATTAAAGCAGCTGCTGTCGTTTCAGAGAGAGGGAGGATGGAGAAGAAAAAAATAAGGATTTTTTTTCTATTTGCCTGGAGTTTTTTTGTATTAGACAGTATATATATATATAAAATAACCCTGTGAAATATATAATGAAGGCAGCTAAAAGCTCTTGGAAAAATAACTCCACACGTGGATGTTACCTGTGCAAAGATTCCTGCTGCTAAAATAAACTAGAGCAAAGTTAAAGAGGCTTTTTTAAAGAAATAAACGGGTGTTTTGTCATTCAGCAGTGTTGGATCCATCAGTAAATATTAATAAATCATTAGCTTTTTATTTGATAATTATTTTTCTTACCTGAAAAGATTTGTTTTTGATTGTTTTTTTTAGAAAAATACCCAAACATTTATTTTTCACCCTAAACAGTGAGAAGTAATTATATTTGACTCAAACTGGAGCAGATTTATTCAAAATCAAGTTAAAAAAATCTTTCAAAACATTTTAAAACTTGTTTTTTTTTATTTTGACTTGATTTTCTAATTTAAAAAAAGATTGAAACATATATTTACAGATTTGACAGCATTTTGTACAATTTGTTTAATTTCTGATTCAACTGCTGGTGGTTTTAACTGTTTAGTGGAGGCAGAAATGATTTTTATGAGCTTTGAGGAAACCAAACGTGATCTAAAGGTCCTGTCACATTGTGATGTTTTAGACAACTTGTCCCGACTTATGAACTTTTTGTTGTGACTGTTTTACTTGCTTCAAAAGGACTGGGCGATGATTTAATAATGATATGGCGATAAACATGTTAAATATCAACAGAAAACACATCTGATAGAATATCGATAATTTGTCTAAAGGTAGATAACTTTCTGATAAAATAAGTTAAGACCTTTCAGCTAAACAACACCGGGAAAGCTAAGATTCACCTTCAAAATAAAAGCTTCAAGCTGCTACTAGACTACAAAAATAATCGCTCGAGCTTTATTTTGAAATGTGTAAACTGAGGTTTCTTTCTCGCTCTTGTTGGCACATCAAGTGATAGAGCACTAACTTTCTGGAGCGGTCCAACATCGTAGGGTTAATATGAAATTAATTATTGATTTAGGATGCTTTTACACTGAAATGAGCAATCTAAAAACTGAAGAAGGTGTCAATGCGACGCCGCAACCGCTAAAAACCTGCAGCTAAACAAGGTTAGCTACCTGAAAACCTGTGGAGGGACATGCAGTAGCAGTTTCAAAATAAAACCACGATGCTGAGAGGCCTTAACAGGCAGGACAACAACAAAAACACGAGGGTGGTGGTTCTCCAGGACCAGGACTGGACCAGGACAGGACCCCTGCAGTGGAGTTTCAGTCACACAGCAGCTCAGTGTTTCTTCTTAGTTTTTAATTGATGATGAATAAAATGCAACTTGGGTTCCCTTCGTCTTGTTCTGCATGAATCAACATCCTGATTCTTGTTCTCATCCTTCCTCCAGAGGATGATCCGGTTTGGAAGCTCTCATCCACAGTTCTGGGACTGTTAGGTGTTCTGATCCTTATCGACCCGTTTGTCTCTGAAACCTCCTCATGATGTTTCTGTCTGCTGTGATCTCCCTCCTAGCCTTCAGCGCTGAGAGGAGCTGCAAAACATTTAGCGTGGAGTCTGTTTGGTTTCAGAACAGTTCCTCTCAGCTCTGAATCGTTCTCCTCTTTAACGAACCCAAAAAGAAACAATCCTCTGACCCGACCTACGTCTCGTCCCCGAGCAGCTCTGACCCCGTCGGCCCCTCTGGCCCTGATGCCGCCGCCGCCCTCCAGCTCCAACCAGCCCGTCGCCGTGTCCCGTCTGCAGATGCAGCTGCACCTGCAGAACCTGCAGCAGAACACCAACGCTCTGCGCAAACAGCTGTCGCAGCTGCGCAACATCCAGGTCAGCACGCCACACAGACTCAGCTCAGATCGACCTTAAACTTAGAACAAAGTTAACAACTGGGTTTTATTACCTTTATTTGTGAAACAAACTTTTGTTTAAAACGTATCAAGTCCAGTTTTAGATAATTTATATGTTCAATGGGTCTAAAACCTCACTAAATATAGAAACAAAGTCGCAGCTCTCATGTTAATTCAGCCATGCATTGACACGGCCAAATGATCAAATGTTATGGAGTTTTTAAAGTTATTTATTGTACAAATATGATGCTGATTACTGCTTCCTTTACACCAGGGGTTCTTAACCTTTTTGACCTCGGGGCCCAGTTTATTGAACATAAAGTGACACGAGGCCCAGTCACACATTACCA